TTCTGGCTCTTTTAACGTGAGAATTAAGAGGCAAAATGCTCAAGTCCATCACTGTAACCTAATGGATTTAAGCATTGTTTTAAAAAATTGTGTCGTCCCTAGTAGAAAAAGCTAAAAGGCAGGCTAAGGCAACATGGAGAGCAGGCAAGGAGGAAAGTGGGACACCAAGAAGGGGACCCAAGGTCAAGAAGGAACCGGGCTGCTTTACCCACAGCACCAGCTGGAGCTGTGTCCATCTGTTCAGGAAGGCCCAGGCTGAATACCAAAATGAGCCAGATTGTGATGAATTTCGCCGCCCACGTGTTATCTCCACAATTTAAATTTCTTTCCCGCAAACCATTTTTCTCTGAGGGAGGAAACTAGAAGAGGGATACTATCTGCTTCACCTTTTTATCCCCCAACTCCTGTCCCCTTGCCTAGCATATAACAGGTGCTAAATAATGGTTTAATTAAAAATCTCTCCACCTGGGACATCTCTAGGACAAGTCTAAGAGGTCTGAGTACCATCCCCACGGTCAAAGTCTTCCCTCGGGGATGGGGGGTGGGGAACGCCTTAGCAAGCTTTTTTATCTTCATGGGGATACAAGGCATGGAAATGGAAGGCTTCGTTCTCTGTTCAAGGGGTTTTAAGTCTCAGTGAACAGAGGGAGGGAAATTTGGAGAAACGGGCAACTCTTCTCATTCCCCAGAAACTGTGACGTGCTGGTGGGGACGGGCCTGTCCTATAAACCCTATAGGACAGATGGACAACAAGAGGCCGAGAAAAGAAAAACCCTTTTTCCTGACGTCTTCCATTCCCATGGCCGTCATGGCGGATGCAGGCTCTTCCCCAGCAAGCCTGTGCCAGCTCAGCCAGGTTCAACTGAGCTGCCCTGAGAGAAGTTGGATGGAAACCAGGAGACTTCAAGGCACATTGCCTCGCTCTTGGTCTGTGGGGTTTTATTCCCATCACTGGGTCCAGGAAAATGCATTCAAATGACAATCTCCTGTCCACACACACGGAGCCCTTGAAGTGGCTGGTTGGGGGGAAGAAGGGCCTTACGCATTTTAACAGCAAGCTTGAGGCTCAGCCCTGGGAGGGCCACACTCTGAGGCCATAGAACATGGGCCTGCACTGCCCCGCTCTGGCAGGCCAATGGAGGGAGCGGTGTGTACCCCGCTGGGGTCACTGCAGCTCAGACCCCGCCCAGAAGCCTGGGGCTGCTGGCAGTACACCAGGGCCTGGACCACACTCCTACCCTTTCCTAGAAACCAAATGCTGATGGGGTCAAAGAGCTGGAAGCCACTTCCTTATTTTGGGAATGGATCTTTTATTTCATAACTGGTAAAGGGTATTTTCTATGCAAAATCGCTGCTAAGCAATTCACTGTGATGCCTAATATACCTACCCTAATTCTTTTTCTCACTGATAGTCTCAGTTTGCTCTTCCCCAGACAAAGGTCTCTGGATTAATTGTATTGATCTTTCTCAATCAAAAAAGTGGTGAGATATCTCCAGAACACTACCTTCATGAACGTGGACAGTACGTTATTATTACACGTCCATTATTACAATGACCGGAATATTCTTCACAATGCTTCAAAATTGGGTTTGTAATGATCACCTGGACAGGAGGCTTACCAATGACTCACATTTTATAAAAAGGATTTTAAGTCCATGTGTATAATGCTACCGAGATGGAATTCTCTAGGAAGAGAATTCCTCTTTTATTTATTTATTTATTTTTTGCCAACAATTTTAGAGGCAGGATGTTAAACTGATTGAAGTTTCACAAGATTGACATTATTGCTTAAAGTGCTTGAATTGGTTACATTAAAAAAAAAAAAGGTACAGATTATTTTAAATAAAAACTAAAAAAAAATTTTTTAGCAACAAAGTCAAATCAATGAATGCCACACAATTACAGTAACTATTTTGGTTATACAGAAATGGAAGCCAAAATAAATTAATGCAATACCGAAAAACATATTTAATTAGGCAGAAACATAGGAAATCATTTTCCCTGACCCATGCCACTTACATGAGTTAATCACACTAGTGCTGATAAATGCCTTGACCATATAATAGCAAACGAGGGCAAAACATTTAGTGCACAATATTTTAATACACATGAATATACAAAGTTGATCAAAATGCAATGTTTAAAGATAAAATCCATCTGTAATAAAGCTACACTCCAATATCTAAAATAAGCCCTAAGCTCCAGTTAGAACATCGTTTCATTGTTAGGCATGCCCATGAAAATTAAGGGTATCCATGAAAATAAATGCACAGGGACCATTTCCGTCATTCCCCCCCCCCC